ACTTGTGCCATACTCTATATTAATGTCTGTCCCCTTGAACTCTTGACCTCAGGTGATCCTCCCGCCTCAGCCTCCCAAAGTGCTGGGGTTACCGGCGTGAGCCACCGCACCCAGCCTCCTTTTTTCTTTCGTTGTGTGTGCTTTTAGTGTCACATACAATAAATCATTGCCAAATCCAATGTCATAAATTTTGCCCTATATTTTTTTCTAAGACTTGTATTATTTTAGGTCTTACATTTAGGTCTTTGATCCATTTTGAGTTAGTTTTTGTATATGATGTTAGGTAAGGGTCCAACCATATTCTTTTGCATATAGATATATCCAATTTTCACAGTACAATTTGTTGAAAAAACTGTCCTTTCCCCGTTGAATGGTCTTGGCACCTTTGTCAAAAATCATTTAACTGTATATGTGAGAGTTTATTTCTGGGTACTCTGTTCTATTCCATTGGTCTGTATGTCTGTTTTTATGTCATTACTACAGTATTTATGACTCCCTCTGTCTAGTGGTGGTTCCTAGGTCCAATTTTATAGAACCCAGGATCTGAACTTTGCTGTTTTAAAGGTGGCAGTAGAGAAGAGCATCACAGAAGTTGGTCAGGAGCTGACAGAGCTGGTGGAACATCTTGTAGACATTGTCAGGAGCCTGCAGAATCAGAGGCCACTATCAGAATCTGGACCAGACAATGAACTGAGCATCCTGGGCAAGGTAGGCTCCACTGGGAGAGGAAAGGATGTGGGAGGGAATAGGGCTGGGGATTGCTTTCAACTGGAACAACATGAATATGTTTGAAGCTGAAGCAACAAGTCTCAATCTTTTATTGTTCTCTTTACTACCAGACATGGATGATTGGACATTTGGGATGCTTGAGGTAATGTTGGGAAGCTTCAAGTGGGCTAGGGTCACTCCACCTAACCAGCTATCTCTAAGATCACCAATGACCTCTGTGTAAATCCTATGTAAATCCTATGGACATTCTGGTGCCTGTCTTCATTGACCTTTCAGTAGCCTTTGACACAGTGGACCACACCTTCATTCTTAGCTTTTGGGACAGGAGTCTTTTGGCTTTCCCCCACCTCTCTCTGGCTGATCCTTCTCAGTCTGTTTACAGGCTGTCTCTCCTCTGCTCAGGAATTAAATGCTGGACTTCCTCAAGGCTGAGTTGTAAGTCCCTTTATCTCCCCTCCAGGTAGTCTTCCCTGTATCCATGGCTTTAATGACCACCTCTATGCACAAATAATAGCTCCAGGCTGGAGCCTTCTCTGAGCACTAGGCTGCTATGTCTTCCTTCTCATCTTTTCTTCTTGGGTATCTCAAAGCATCACACTTAACGTGTCCTAAGCTGCTCCTTTTCTCGGATTTTTGTCTCAATACTGGCCCCATTATCTTTCCAAGTACACAAGCCAGAGACCTGGAAATCATGTTACCTTCTTCTCCCTTACCCTAATATGCAGCATATTGTAGCTTTAAGACCTGCCTAATTACCTCTCAAATCTATTTACTTATTCTTGAGCTCCTTTGAGACTTCTCTAATCCCAGCCTCTGATAATTTTATGCCTGGATTGCTGTCATAGCCTTCCAAATGCTCCACTCTCCCTCTTCTAGTCTGTTTTCCTCACGGTCATCACAGTGACTACCACAAACATCAATCTGAAACTGTAACTCATCTGCTTAAAACATTCAAATTACATCAGTTTGCTCAGGAGTAAGACCCAAATCCTCATAGGACCAACAAAGCCCTGTAGGATTCCATCTCTCTGTCTGCCTCTCAAATCTCATCTCTGCTCATGCCGCCTGGCTCTGTGAGCTCCAGCTGCACTCTCTGCACAGTCCCTCCAATGTGTCTCGCGTCTTCCCACTACAGGGCACCCTTCATGGAATGCTCTCCTTTTCCTCCATCACTTAGGTAATACTTGTTCATCCTTCAGATCCTAGCTAGAACATCATTTCTTCAGAGAGAAGCCTTCACTGATTTCCTTAAACAAATCAAATCCCCCCATTAGAGGCTCTGAGGACTCCATGTACCTTTCATTTGTAGTAGTTATCACCATTGCACCTTTGTAATGACTTGTGCCATACTCTATATTAATGTCTGTCCCC